CCCCCCCCCCCCCCCACCTCTCTCTCTCTCTCTCCATCCTGCTTTTGAACCTGATCAATGGAATCTTGTTTATCCCTCACACACATACAAATTACCGTTTGCGCACCCGTGCTCTCACAACAAGTTAATTGGTCTTAATTCCCCGATCTTCACTGCTTTGACAAATTATCAACTGTATTCCCTCTTATTGCAATATTTAGGTTGTGTATTGTGAGTATAATATAGTTGTCGCTATGGTTGGTGTTTAGGGGTAGTTATTGCACTTGTATTTTTGAATAGTTAGTGATGCTTTCCTCGTTCATTCTTAGGTTAGAGGTATTAATTAGAGGTACTTAAGGTATAGACTTGAAATTTTGTGGAATTGTTTTGTTGATTTTACATTTGTATGCGGATAGTATCAATTACAGTCACTTAGGCTGTACAATTAGCAACTTTATATTTTGTAGAGGTTTTTATGTTGATTAATGTTTGATAGTCCATTAATTTTGCCCTTGGGTATTTCGGATAGCGTTACTCCCTCACCTCATAGTTGGAGGAGGATGATAATTTTTTGCGCTCCGAAGAATGCCTTGAAAACTCTGAAAATTGAAGAGTCTGTAGATTTGGTTGTGATCTTTCCACGAAAAATATTTTGAACAATTAAAAAAAAAGTTTAGTCGGTGAAATAAATGTCGCGCTGATTTGTCTCATTCTTGATTTTTGCCACTCTATTACTTGTGGGGAAACATACCCCAATTTCAGCGATGTTTCACGATCAGAAGAATTCACAAAAAAAAAATGAAATTGAAAAGTCCGTAGATTTGGTCGTGATCTTTCTGAAAAAAATATTTAAAAAATTTTAAAAATCAATTTGACCACAAAATAAGTGATGACAGTGTTTGACTGTACTTGTTTTCGTAGTCTGTTCTGGATGGGTTCTTTAGATCGGGTTTGCTGTTGAATCCTCTGGGATTTAGCCCGAGACTGAGACTAGATGGGTATTGTTTGGTCTATCAAGGTTCGAACCCACGACCATGAGTATTCGTAGTTTATTACCTTTCTGGCTAAGAGAGTCCGGTATTGATCTGTTGCACTAGTTTACCTGATGATTTTTAATAGTATTGGATTTTTTTGGGATTCGTACCCTGTACCTTCGAATTGTGTGGGACTGGTACCGCGGCTTATTTGAATTGTCTTTGGTCCGGTTGTCTCTAAAATCATGGTTTGCTTAGCTCTAGTTGCCTCATGAGTAGTATATATAGATTGGTGGCGATTACTTTGACCTCTTGGGTCTTGTCAAAGGACTAGTCACAGTTTCCATCGGCGGGTTTGTCGGTTTGACGATCATTGGGTCTGATGGAACGTCTGGTTTGTCTCAACGACTGTTATTTTCATAAATTTATTGTTCTTTGTTGTGAGTTGTCGGTTTGACGGTCATTGAGTCTGATGGAACGTCCGATTGGTCTCAACCGTGACGACTATTATTTTCATCAATCTATTGTTGTTTGTTGTGAGTTGCTTTGTCTACTCGTGACCATGTGCATCTTCTACGTGTGCATGCTACCATATCCATTGTGAGTGCATGTGTGAACTTACTTGGAGACGAAATTACCGGGCCTGAGTGAGCACGTTGTGGCGTGGCTACTATACGACTGGTACTTAACCTCTCCAAGTGGTGAGCTGCTGTAGTTGTTTGAGTTCGTTGCTGGTCTTGGAACTGGAGTCGCTAGTTTATGTATGGTTGACGCTTGTGTGGGGTTTGACTATCTCTCGACTTTGGTATGGCCTTGCAAGACCCACACGATCAGGGTGAGCGGGCGCGTGAGAGGGGTGATTGGGATCGTGAGCAGCGTGATGGCGAACTTGTTAACGATGCAGGGGAACGGAGGCCGTATCGGCCTCCTACTTGCTTCACTTGTCACAAGGTAGGGCACTACGGTAATCAGTGCACGAATCAGAGTAGACATTATTTCAATGCAAGACCGTCATCGTCATCAGATTCAAGGCGGACGCATTCACCCCGAGGACATGAAGCTGCATGACGCGACCCTACTCCACACGTGGACCCGGAGATCCGGACGACGATTGCAAATTGGGGAGGAGTGTCGCTGTGATGGAGGAACACTATGCAGCAGTACGAGAGAAGCGGGAGTTGAAATGAGACGTGAATTGGAGAAGGAAGAAGCTCAACGACGAGCGGAGGAAGAAGCTGCGCGTTTGGAGGAGGAACACGCTAAGGCCGAGAATAAAGCTTGGAAGCGCAAACAGAAGAAGCGGGTTGAGGAGGAGAAGCGAGTTGAAATGCAAAATGATATGAAGGTTCAATTGGCGATTCACGTTGGGGAGTTGGAACACCGCCTTGTTCAACAATTGAATCAGGTTGTCTCGTCTATTCCTCCTACACAGCAAAACCGTGGCAAGAAAAATGTTACTTGCATGAGCGAGGACGATGGGTACTCGTCTAACATTGGCGAGGGTAGTGACACCAGTGTCACACAAGAATTGACTGCACGTATGGTCATTTCCGAGAAATGGAAGCGAGGTCCGGAACCTGTCTTCGATGATCCGAGTCCGCCGATGGAGATGCCGGCCAAGCGTACGCCGAAAGGTGAAATTCTTAAGCCAGTAAAATTGACGGGACGTCTGACAAGATCGAAGTCCAAGAAAGTCGGAGGATGTCTCATGCCTGCATCGAACAAAAATAAGATTTCCATGCCACTCTCGAAACGGCGTACTCCGACTCGTAAGCGGGTATTAGTTCCAAGGTCTCAACCTGATGTCTCGCTCGAACGACTGCGCTACCATGATAATGTCTTGCGTAAAGGACTTTGACGCCATCGAGTTGCAACGCATTTGTCGAGAAGAAGAAATTCATTACAACAAGAAAATTGAAGTGATCTTTGATATTGCCGATCATAGGACCGAACGGGCCTTCTCAGTTGCATTAGCTACAATCGAGCGAATTGCGGTCTCGGATGATACGACCAATGAACCAGACGAGGCTCCGCTGAGAATGTTTGAAGTTCTCTTTCGATACCATAACTGGGGAAGATCTGTCATTTCCTAACGCATCTTCGTTGTGAATCCACTACTGTAGATAAGATGGTGGAGAAGCTGCTTCGCCTCGTCTCTTTGTTACTTGTCGTTGAGGGACAAATTCAATGGGCTACCAAGTGCGTGGCTAATTGGATTGACTTGTATGATCGTCACAGACTTGACTTCCTAAATCTTAAAAATTGCGTGTATGTGGGGATTTTCTCTTTTTATAAATTCATTTCCATTGGTAATCATAACGTTGATACCCGTTGGAGGGAGCATCTGTACTGTTGTCGAAACTGTAAAGAATCGCATTTTCACCGATGGTTAGCCAACTTCGGGATTGGTAATTACCTGCTACTCCCCGTGGATGTTTTGGTCGGGACTGATCTGGGTAAACTCGAGCACGTGTATATTGAACTTTGGTCCCCGTTCTTGAATACTAGTGGCTAAACGAGGGAACAATTGGAAGAAGAGTAAAATTGGTAGGAGGGAGCGTGCGATCAGGAAAAAGAATATTAATCCTAATTCTAGTCGCTCGTGGAAACCAATTCGCTTTAGAATTCTTACGGCTAAGGATTGGCTTGTGAATGTTTTTAACTTTTTCGACACTATCCTGAATTCGGGGAATCATGGGGTTGAATTTTGTACCCAACCAGATAACATTTGGCAAGTCCACGAGTCGGGAACCTTTTGCTTGAAGGATTATAAGTTATTATTACAAATGGGGGGGCGCTTCACTATTTCTCATGTATGTAAATGGTCTGCTCTGTGTGGATATCTAAAGAAAATCTTATTGAGTATTCTTCGTAATCCTCGTAACGTTTCGACAATTTGTAATTGGAGAATGAGATCGTACTTACGTATTTACATTGTTATTAAGAATTTTTCCCAAAAATGGACATGTAAATACTTACGCCGACTTATCTCCTGTTGCTTTCGTGAGAAATTTGGTTTAAGCCTCAGTGTTGACTTGATTTTTCGCATCCGTTTTGATGATTGTATCATCATTTCTGAAGTTCGAAAAGTTGTTAATGATGCTATTATGCAACTCGACTTGCCTATGTGTTTCTTACATCGAGCTCGGAGGAAATTTTGGATAGTGGGAACTAAGAACCCCTTTATTGCCGATTTGTTCAAGTTGCACAACATGTGTAGTTATTCAACACGCACTGTGCTGGTCTGGACCTCCCACGCTCGTCGAATCATGTATTGTTTCGACTTAGTGATCTCGAAGGGATTCGTTCTCCTCTGAGTAACGCTAAGAATGTGCCTTGTGCTGTTGTCAGTGACCGTGTACCGTCATTACATGAGGAATTGCGCACTGGTTTGCTAACTGGAGCAATTGTACTAATGCTCCCCCGTACTTCATTCATGATAGTTTGATTAATTGTTTTTCTACCGCGAATGAGAATCGTCGTTTTCTATTCACACGTGAAGTCCTGAAGATGAAACAAAGATTCGAGGGTTTGTTGTTTACTGCAGTTGATCGCAATCCTGGCGAAACGGTTGTCATGTGTCCTCTAACCTATTACCATGCTATGATGGACAATTTTGTACTGAACCCGAGGTGTCGGATCATCGATTGCCCCGAGAGTCTCATACAAAAGGAAATCTGAGAGGACGTTGGGCTGAATACCTTCTCACGATGGGATAAGAATGAAGAGTTTAGTTCGGCGTATCTTTTGTTGAAACATAAGGATCTGGGGCGTTTTCGACCTATTTGCCCCTCATTTGGGGAACCGATGATTCACACAGGGCGCCTGGCGTCCAAAGCACTAAATCATTTGTTGAATGCGATTCCTAAGGAATGACATTTCAATATTCCTGCTGTATCAACTTTAACCACAAGGTTAGAACTGGGTAACAAGCGTTTTCTTCGCTTGGGACCTAATCGAGTGATCACTTTTTACTCATTTAATATTAAAGACAGGTTCAGTAAACTTCCGCATGCGGATATTCGACGTGAAGTGGATTGGATTATTCATTACCATACCGAGAAGGGTCACAATTTCGTACGTGTTAATACACGTGGGAAGGGGGCTAGGTTTGGACTAACGCCCGGAGGTGATTACTGGCGGAAACTACGATTGGATGACATACACTCATTTGTCCACCTTGAGTTGAACCACACTTACTATTTTCATGTACCGAGGGTTTTGCTAAAACAGGAGGTTGAAATTCCTATGGGGAAGAGCACTAGCTCGCCCTTGACCTGTATTTTACGTGTTTTTTATGAGTATTGTTTCACATGTGGGATTGGTCGTTCTGCTCGACATTTGGTTGCTTGTCGACTCGTGGATGATGTTATGCTGGTTATTTTATCACGCGATAATGACAATGACCGAACGATTATGGAGTTCTTCCAGACTTGTTACCTAAGTATTAATTTGTTGCTGAAATGAACTGATCCAGGATCTGAAGTGTTGGATTTCCTTGGATGCCAGATTTACGTTTCACAATTATACCCTTTCATGGGATGTGTACAAACATCTAGGAATGAGGACTGCCTCTGGGCTTGTGATCGCCTGAAAATTCTGAATGGGCAATCGTGCTTCTCATGGGGATGCACACACCAGAAGAGTGTGATCACTAAGGGTTACCTCCATCAAATTGATCAGAACACCTTCATTCGATCGGAGATCCCGTACCGAGTACGGGCGTTGCGACGAGAATTGTCCCTGAAGGATTTTTCTGACCAATTCTTCAAGAACGTCCTCAAGCGTTTCTCTATACAGTGTGAGGATATATGGAGGCAAGATGTGAGGCTTCTGTACTAATCTTGTTGACGCCTTGTTGAGTGATTGTTCCTCGGCTGCGTACTTCGATCTTTGGTGCTCACTTTAGGATCGTTGCCTGTAGTTGCTTGCTTTTGACTGGACAGGGCTCTACTGTTCTCTTTGTTTTTTTGTTTTTGACAGTATTTTACTGTACATGTTTTCGTAGTCTGTTCTGGATGGGTTCTTTGGATCGGGTTTGCTGTCGAATCCTTTGGGTTTTAGCACGGGACTGAGACCAGATGGGTATTGATTGGTCTATCAAGGTTCGAACCCACGACCATGAGACTTCATAATCTTTTACCTTTCTGGCTCAGGGAGTCCGATATTGATCTATTGCACTAGTTTACCTGATGTTTTTTAATAGTACTGGATGTTTTTGAGATTCGTACCCTGTACCTTCGAATTGTGTGGGACTAGTACCACGGCTTATTTGAACTGCCTTTGGTCCGGTAGTCTCTAGAATCATCGTTTGCTTAACTCTAGTTGCCTCATGAGTAGTATATATAGATTGGTGGCGATTACTTTGACCTCTTGGGTCTTGTCAAAGGACTAGTGTCCGGCGGCGGGTTTGTCGGTCATTGGGTCTGATGGAACGTCCGGTTGGTCTCGCCGACTATTATTTTTATCAATCTATTGTTGTTTGTTGTGAGTTGTTAGTTTGACGATCATTGGGTCTGATGGAACGTTCGGTTGGTCTCGACGACTATTATTTTCATCAATCTATTGTTGTTTGTTGTGAGTTGCTTTGTCTACTCGTGACCGTGTGCATCTTCTACGTGTGCATGTTACCATATCCATCCATTCATGCTGACACCCGTGGGCCTATGTTTGGTGTACTTGTGCTTTAAACGACCAATACTTGTCCTTGGCCCAACTATCGGCCGTGGGAAAGAAACAGAGTAGAAATGTTTCTAGTCGACTGAATTTGGGCACGACTTTAGGAAGTACTAATACAGGGTAAATGAGGATTTGGCGTTTTACCACCAGTACTTCCTAAAGTCAAGCCACAATTTTGGGAAATGTACAGGTCACTACAGGAGCACCCAGATTCATCCGACTAGAAACATTTATACTCTATTTTTTCCGCGGCCTATAGCTGGGCCAAGTACTGGTGGTTTGTCTCAATATTGTTTTGGGATTGATTGGCTTTTCTGCATCTCTGCACAAAACACATCCAAATTCAGGAATTTAATCCAACCCTCTTTGCTAATGGGACCAAGCCCTTGCACAGGTCGTGAATAATAGAGCCAGGCCCACAAGCATTCGGACGAGGCCCTACCGGCGTTGTGTTCATGTTTAGAAAAGCATGAACCTGAGCGTATAAATGGACGTGTGCTCTCTAGCCTGAAAAAAACAAAAAAACAAAAAAAAACAAAAAAATTACCGGTAGCACGAGTGGGGCCCGGGCCTTAGATATCCAGCAATACTGGGCCTCGCTCCACTACTCTCGACATGCACTAGAGACTTTCCGTGTTCTAGCGAAAGATTCACTCTCGTACTGGACATGTATATAGTGGAGCGAGGCCCACCGCATTGATTTTCTTTTATGTTTTTATTTTTTATTTTTACCTTTTTTTTTTTTGCGCGCGTTGATTTTGTTAGAGCATTCTGGACCTGCAACAGCAACTGCCCGGGAAGGGGTGTCGGAGAAGACCCTCGTGTTGTGTTTCCCGAAATGTATCTGACGGCGATTACGACCAGAAGCGGATGAATCTGACAGCAATCGCGTCCAAAGACGGGGAACCCCGTAGCAGCCACACCCGTGCTCAAGCCTCCAAGGAGGGAACATGCGGGAGCTGCACCCACCAGCAGGTGCGATACCTGCGACAGCAGGTGGGCGATACCGGCCAGGGGTCAGCCGGTAGCATCAGGACCGAGCTTCCAGTCACTGTGCCTCCCCTCCGTTCCCCTCCCCCTATGACCTATGAACATCAGGCGTCTCTGCTCAATGCCACTCGGGGGGACCAACGGCATATCTCTAGGTGGCGGGCGCCACGCTTGCCCAGGAAGGTACATGCGGCCAGTGGGGATTGAACCCAAGACGTCCTGAATGCCACTTGCGTGCCTTACAAACTGAGCTAGGCCGCTGGTTAGTATGCCTTTTTTGACACACGGTCGAACGGTTTCTCTCGTCCTGGGGGATGGCGTTTGGCCGTGAGGCGTAGCGGGGGGCCACGCGGCAAGGTCCCACTTGCACGAGTTAAGAGATACTGACCGTAGAGAGCAAAGTTGAAAGATCAACGGCCGAAATCTCCTAATTTGCGCAAGTGGGACCTTGCCCACGGTGAAAGGAGGACCCTGTCGCGGTTGCACACACAAAGCGGGCACACATTTTCCAGGGAGGGTGGGAGTAGGCGGGAACAACTCCGCCCCCCTCGCTCACAAGCACGCACGAAATCAACTGGGGTACACGTGTGAGCTTTCGTCACTACCGAGAGAAGCAATTATAGACCTCGACCTATACACGAAGAAAACGTAGGGTAGGGGGGGTCTGACGAGAGAGAGAGAGAGAGAGAGAGAGAGAGAGAGAGAGAGGTGGTTTGAGATACGCCCATATACACACACACACACACACACAGAGGTGGTTTGAGATACGCCCATATATACAGAGAGAGAGAGAGAGAGAGAGAGAGAGAGGTGGTTTGGGATACGCCCATATACGTAAGCGGGGTCTGGAGAGAGAGAGAGAGAGAGAGAGAGAGAGAGAGAGAGAGAGGTGGTGTGGGATACGCCCATATACTCATACACACACACACACACACACACACACACACACACAGAGGGAGAGAGAGAGAGAGAGAGAGAGAGAGAGAGAGAGAGAGAGAGAGAGAGAGAGAGAGAGAAGCTGGTGCAGCGGGAGACCGAAGGCGCGGTCTTGGCTTCATGGCACAGCAGGTGGGTGACGTTAACTGTAAAACCGCTGCTCGGCTTCTGTTGTTGTTGTTGAACTCGATTTTTTTTTTTTTTTTTTTCTCCCGTCCCAGCCCCGCTCGACAAAGTGGTCCACGTCTACGCTCTGTCGTCCGTTTGTTTGATGACGTATGCAGTTTTTTTTTTTTTGTTTTTTTTTTGTTTTGAGAACATGGTCAAGTCTTCTGCTGGGCCCTATTCTCGTGTTGTAATATAGTAATAATAATAATAATGTTTAAATGGCATTTTTAAATCAATACATTGTGGCTTACGTTATTCATAATGACGATTTATATGTATACATTTTAATTTGAATTATTATTTCAATTTTATAATTTTTCTGTTGATCCGAATCCGTAAAGTCAGGAGGAAAAATAGATTATAAAAATCTAGATTTACTTCGTCGATTTTTATTTTTATTTTTTGAAAGAATTCGTCGATTTTTAAGTGAACAAGGAAAAATTAAACATGTGTGTAGATAACTCCCTTAAGAGAGAACGTGGAGTATACAGACAGATATGATGACCCTGTGTGTTTTATGTGCACCAGAAGATTCTAATTGAGTGGCGATAATTTATTTTTTTTTTTCCCGGGAAAAGACGAGTTTATTCCATTACCAATTGAAAGAATTGAGGCGGGGGGCGAGGTCCCACTACGGTAGCAAAGAGAATTGGATAAATATCCTGAATCTGGACGTGTTTTAAGCAGAGATGCGGAAAAGAAGTTCAATCGCGACATTCTGAAGCTTTCCACAAACGCGTCCAGATTCAGGCGTTCAATCCAATCCTCTTTGCTAGTGGGACCTCGTCTCGGGAATTCCTCATAAGCAACCCGCGGGATGTAATGGCGAGATTATTTGAGAGAGGGAGACACCAAAAAAAAAAAAAGATAAAAAAAAAAGGAAGAAAAAAAAAAGACGAAAAAAAAAAGAGCACACGCACAGAGAGAGTGGAAGGTCACCGTTGGGAGACTCTTCGTCGGAGGCGCAGTCCCACTAGCAAAAAGCATTCTATTGATCGCCTGAATCAGAATGCATTTCACGGAGAGATACAGAAAAAAAGCAGATCAATTGCGATTTTTTCGTGCACCTGTCCTCAAACACGTCCACATTCAGCTGTTTAATTCAATTCTCTTTGCTAGTGGGACTGTACCCCTGTTCTCGCCTTTTTTCATCGGTTATTCATCAGAAAGCATGCCGCTGGAATTCGAAGGAATTGGGCGCGCTCAAGCGAGGACTCTTTCTGGAATGTATCGGGCGGCAATTACGACCAGATTCGGTTGGAGGTGTCCAATTATGAGTGTGGTGTGACAGTGGAAGCATCGTTGGCTTTTTTTTTTTATTTGGCCAAAATTTGGCAGAGTCCACGTGGCGCTCGTTCAGCACAGCGGTAACAGTTCTCCCCCGATTACAACGCGTGGGCATGAATTATTAATTAATTAATTAATTACGAGTTTACGATGATGATTGTACTGCGTGAGGCAGGCAGTTATTGGATTTGAATCTGGACCGATTTCGGACCAGATACAACGGGAAAAAAACACATTATCTCGAGCGTGCATCAAAACTTTCCTCTGTAATACACTTGATCGAGGAAGGGACGACGTGCTCACATACTAGGACAATTTTTAATGAGTCAGGTCGCAAGTACGGTCAGATACATCCAGAGAAGTACTTGGGGTGTGTATTTCTGTGGCGAGTTGTGTTTCTGATGACTTGGCATTGAAACAAGTGGAGGACATCTTCTTGCTCTGCGGACGAGATTGTAACTGCATCTGGCCTTTTTTGAGGTTAGATTCATGTTTTTTTGGAAAAGCACGTGGTGTATGATCCTCGTAAAGTACGATCAGATACATCCAGAGAAGTACTTGGGGGTGTACTTCGTGGCGAGCTGTGTCAACAAACTAAGGACATGTTCTTGCTCCACGGACTATATTTTAACTGCATCTGGCCTTTGATGAGGTTAGATTCATTCAGAAAAAAATAAATAAATAGCACTGGTGTATAATCCCCCAAAAGTTGAAATCGGAATAGATAAAGACAGCCTGTGATAGACTGAGAGGGTGGTCGCTCAAACATGAGGACATCGCTGATGGAATTATCTGGTGGTTGTTGATGAATGAATCTGACCGTTAATACGTGCAGAGTTCAGAAAAAAATCGCTATGATTTTGTCAGTGCTTACCGCCCGGGTTCGTCTTCAATCTTGTATGAAGATCGGATCCCGTAAGCGTGACATCCAGATACATTGTCGTTTCTGCACTTCTTTTTTTTTTAATTATGATGTTTTTTTTTTTTTTTTTTTTTTTTTTTTAAATAAAAAACCCATTTGATTACAAATTCTGAACGAACGAGAGGCCGGAGACCTCACAATTCAACCCGGTGTCTCTGGCAGCCTCAGCCGGTTTAGCTTAAAGAGTTTTATCTTCAAAATAATTCCTACCTTAAGTTTATCATTTAAATGATGACTGTTTTTTCCTCCGTATTTTTTGTATTTTTGGGTTTTTATTATGAATGTCTTTTTTTTTTTTTTTTTTGTCAGCAGTCTTCATCTATTCCCGCCATTCCATCTTATAGCGGTGAACTTTTTTTTTTTCTTTCGAAATTTTAATATTTTTTGAATTTTTTTCCGGCCATTCCAATAAGCAGTACTCGACAGCCGGAATAAGCGTGAACTTCTCTTTTCTTTTCAAATTTGTATATATTTTTTTAAATTATTTCTTGATAAGTTATACTTTTCTCGTACGACTTTCAGTCTGTCTGGTTCTGTTAACGGTCGGGGACGGGTCTTCAGTTAACGGTCGGGATCGGGTCGTCAGTTAACGGTCGGGGACGGGTCTTCAGTTAACGGTCGGGATCGGGTCGTCAGTTAACGGTCGGGATCGAGTCGTCAGTTAACGGTCTGGATTGAGTGGTCAGTTAACGGTCGGAATTGGGTCGTCAGTTAACGGTCGGGATCGGGTCGTCAGTTAACGGTCGGGATCGGGTCGTCTGTTCACGGTCGGGGTGGGTCGTCAGTTAACTAACGGTCGGGGTCGGGTCGTGAGTTAACTAACGGTCGGGGTCGGGTCGTCAGTTAACTAACGGTCGGGATCGGGTCGTCAGTTAATCAACGGTCGGGCCTGGGTCGTCTGTTAACTGTCGGCGTCGCGTCGTCAGTTAACTAACGGTCGGGGTCGGGTCGTCAGTCAACGATCGGGGCCTCTGGGTCGTCAGTTACTCCCGTAATTGAAGTTGATGGAGATGGTCCAAAGACTAACGGTCGGGGTCGCGTCGTCATCGCCCCTTGCCAATCAATACATGGGACTTAGAAAAAAGTGAAGGTAGCTGAATTAAGGAAAGGTGTAAAGAGTCCCTACTTGAAAGTGAAGAAAGAAAGAAGAGAAAAAAATATGTACAGCTTCTACTTCAGAATGTGACCGTTGTAAGCCTTACAAACTATTCGAAAACGGAAAGAGAGAATTGCGTGGTAGATTGAATCAATGAATCGAGCAATGAAACGAGCAATGAAACGAGCAATGAAACGAGCAATGAATCTACTTGAGTGTGAGACCGTTGTAAGCCTTTTTTTTTGTTTTTTTGCTTTTTGTTTTTGAGACTAACAACTATTCCAAAACGGAAAAAGAGAATTGCGTGGTAGATTGAATCAATGAATCGAGCAATGAAACKAGCAATGAAACGAGCAATGAAWCGAGCAATGAATCTACTTGAGTGTGAGACCGTTGTAAGCCTTTTTTTTTGTTTTTTTGCTTTTTGTTTTTGAGACTAACAACTATTCCAAAACGGAAAAAGAGAATTGCGTGGTAGATTGAATCAATGAATCGAGCAATGAAACTAGCAATGAAACGAGCAATGAATCGAGCAATGAATCTACTTGAGTGTGAGACCGTTGTAAGCCTTTTGTTTTTGTTTTTGTTTTTGTTTTTGTTTTTGAGACCGTTGTAAGACCGTTGTAAGCCTTAGTACTATTCCAAAACGGAAAGAGAGAATTGCGTGGTCGATTGAGTAATCAGTTGATCAATGAATCGATTAATCAATTCGTCGATCAATCAAATCAATCAAATCAAATCAATCAAATCAAATCAATCAAATCCATCAATCAAGCGATTAATCAATCAATCAATTAGTCTAGCTCAGACTGACACCGTTGTAAGCCTTACTACTATTCCGAAACGGAAAAAGAGAATTACGTGGTCGATTGATTAATCAGTCCATCAATCAATCAATCAATCAAGTAATCAATCAATCAATTAAGCAATCAATCAATTAATTAATCAATCAATCAATCAATCAATCAATCAATCAATGAATCTACCTCAGACTGAGAACGTTGTAAGCCTTACTACTATTTCTGAAACCGAGAAAGAAGATTGCGTCGTCGATTGATTAATCAATCGATCAACCAATCAATCCATCAATCCATCAATCCATCAATCAATCCATCAATCCATCAATCAATCGACCAATTAATCGGCCAATTGATTAATCAATGAATCAAACAATCAATCGAGCAAATCAATGAATCGATCAGTTACATCAATCGATCAATGAATCGATGAACAAATGATCGGATCAGCAAATTAACCGATCAAACGAGTTGGTCAAAATAAACGAAACGATTCAGTAATCCATCGACCAATCGGGGGAATGAGCGCAGAGGGGGAAAGGGGGAGGGGGATGGGGAGGGGGCAGCCATTCTCGTTCGGCCTTGCGCATTCAGGAAATAGTTTAATTTTAGACCAATGCTTCGATCAGAGCAATAGATTGAATGCAATATATATAATATATATATACACGGGGGTGGGGGCAGCCGCCGCTCAACCTACATCCACGTGGGCGGCCTTGTACGCAAGAGGTTCTCAACAGGGGGAGTTGTAAGGAAGAAGATTAAAAAATGAATTTATTTTTCTTTGTTTTCTTTCTCTTTTCTTTTCGCTTTTGCGCTCTGATAACTTTGTGACAATCTATATACGGTGTCACGATTTATGCTCATTTACCCGATGTTCGTCAAATGATGGGATCAACGTTTTGCAAGAACAACCGATGATGAGGAAATGCCTACAAACACATGGGTGGATGAGAAACGATAATAACAGTAATACTTTTATCTACCAATGCCGCTGTGCTCCTGCGCCCCTGATCTAAATCGCATGCGCGCGCTTCCCTTAGCGAGAACGAACACCCTAATTTATGGCATGCGCGCGCGCGCGCGAGAGAGAGAGAGAGAGAGAGAGAGAGAGAGAGAGAGAGAGAGAGGGAGAGAGAGAGAGGTGGGCTAGGCGTGGTTGTTTGCGGTTTTTTTTTTGGGTTTAGGGTTTTTGCCATAGTGATCTTCAATAATGTGTTTTACATTATGTATTTCGAACTATTTTCAATATTTTTTCGTAATCGTTTTCCGTATCATTTAAGTTTTTTTTTTTTTTTTTAACTCTTTTCAGTAAACTTAATAACTATACCCCTTTTTTTAATGATTTGTTTTTAATATTCTATTCTTTTTCTGTTGTTGTTTACGCATTTTGCAGGGTAGGCATACGATCATTCTGATGCAGCCCCAGCCAAATCGTGCCAGCAGAACGTTCATGGATTACGAGACAGTGCCTGCGGCAATGGACGGTACAGATCGATCTCAGTTCTTTTGTCCCCCTTTTTTTTTTTTTTTTTTTTTTTTTTCCTTTTGTTCTGCAGAGGTAAAAGGTTATAAGTCCGTCAATACCTTTCTCGGCCTTTTGGCTAAGATCAAGTGTAGTATCTGTTCTGATCAGTTTAATATCTGATCCGTGGTCCATCGGACCATTTAAGAAAAAAAAAAAAAAAAAAGTTAAGTCCGTCTCTGCGACCACACATAGCCCATTCCCCCTCCCCCCCCCCCCCCCCCCTCCCTCCTTCTCTCTTCCCCCAGAAGGTAACAAAGGGCCTCGCTCGGCTACTCACCAAATATGCAAGATGGGAATGAATCTTCCGCTAGAACAGGGAAAGATACACCGCCATCATTTTTGTTTTTTGTGCATGTCGAAAGTAGTGGAGCGAGGGCCAAACAATGAAGGCCATGTAGTTTCTCCTCTCCCATTCCTATCTATTCTTTCTGGCCTTTTTTTTTTTTTTTTTTTTTTT